CATTCGGTCGCCCATCTCTGTGCACTGCGGTCATTTCATGATTTTATCATGTTTTGGTCGTATAATAATGAACATATGATAACAGCACTGTTTAATACAAAAATATTTTGCTTTATAAGCACTTTTTGGTCACCAAATCACCACCGTGAGTCTTATTTAGCACCAATCCAGCGGCGCCTCTTCTCACTCTGGGGCTGAATCTCAAACGGCGCCCTGCTCCCTACATAGTGCACTACAGGAGTTTAAATACTGGATCCTGCAGCCCAACAGAGCAAAATACAGCTGAGAAATTTGGGATTCAGACTCACCCACACTCGATACATGATGCACTGTTTGACTGTAGAGGCTAGAACTTCTCGACTTTCATAGCTAGAACACTGTTTAGGGAGTACGGAGCCGTTTGGGATTCAGCCTGGGTTTGACGGTACGACTGACCGAAACATGAACATTTGAAGAGCATAATCCATTCAAGCGACATTTTTTAGTCTTTTATTCTGCCGTTTCACACTTAATCACATCGTAAGTGCTTTAATTCAAGCCTGTGATATTAATGATGGAGTTGTTTAGCATGTTTGCTATCGTTTAGCATGTTAGCTAGCTGACCAGCCTGGTTCTAGATAAGAGTATAAGTCTCCAGCCCCTCAGTTTAAACAAAAACGGGTTCTTACTTCATCAGTTCACTCGGCGCTCAGTGCGTTTAGCATGAGAGTCAAAGATTAACCCATTAACAGCAGAAGGGTCTTTCGTGCCGTGGCGCAGTGATACAGAGCTCAGTTACGGTGATGCGGTCATAGGAGTGGTATATCGTGGATTTTAACGGCTTTGAACACGGCTCAGATGATCATATTTTAGGAGCGGAACTGTCTGTTTTATAATCTGATTTATAAAGTATGTGATTATATTTTAATACTGCTTAAATGCTGCAGATCGGTTTCTTTAATGTTTTAAAGCTGCACTATGTAAGGTTTCTGTGTTAAAACTGAAAGAAGCAGCTCAGAAGACGCGTCCTTTACCAAGTTTCTCTTTCAATCATCAGATCCATCCACACGGTGAACGGGGCTGAAGCACAACCCACGCTACACATGTTCTTCCGCACGTTCTGCAGTTACACATTTCCACCAGAGAGGTCTCCAAATCCCAGAAACTTACACAGTGCAGCTTTAGGGTTATTAATCTCAAACGTGCACATGTGAAGAACGCTTTACTTGTGTTTCAAATATTTTATCTTTATTTTACATGCATATTTGTAAATATAACATCATCAGCGGCATCCTAATCATATCTTATAACAGCCCACAGCTTCACGTAACTTACTGCCGATGTCAAACATTAACCTCTTGTTCAGGCTTGTGACTAAGGGGTCATTAAAATGCTTGATAAGTTCAGAAGATCAATCAGTTCACAGTTTTTTTTCCATTTTTGCGCTGAAGCGGCAGCTTGAATTTGTTGGCGCTGCAGCTCCGGTTGGAAGAGCAGCACGAAAATCACTGTGGAAAAGTGAATTTCACTTTTATTTTTTAAATGTAAATTTGATTTAGCAGATATAAACTTTTAAAAGTTTCAAAACACACCCTTCACTCCCCCAGCCCAGGTCCACACATACAGACTGTACTGTGTGTGCTTTTGTAACATCACAAAAACTGACACATCACATTTGTCCAACTTACAGCAGCTTGGCTCCCTCCATCAGCGCAAAGTTATGAGCGTTTTAAACTGGGCTGCTTTTTGAATGAAGCACAACACAAGGCAGCCAATCAGAACACAGCTCATTTGCATATACCCCTCTTAAAGGCACAATAATAAAGAGAGGCTGGAAAATGATCATGCAGAAGTGGACAATTACAGTCTCACATAAAGCCTCACATCATATGTCGACATCAGGGATTAAATAAAATAATAAATTAGAAGAGAAATGTAGGATACGGGCCGTTTAAGGACAACTGTCTTGCCACTAGCATAATTTCAGTACAATGGGGAATAGTGGTAACAGTTGTTCAATCAATAGGCAGCTTGCTGGCTTAAAATGGGTAGCAGATTGCTGCATGTCAATAAGGTCAAGCTATGAATGAATGGGGGAAAAGTGGACAAGCATCACTCGACATTCTACACAAAATGATCAAAAATACACTGGAAAAAAGGCTTTAAATTTACTTGATTCAAATGTGTAAACTGGCTCCACATGAATGAAATATTACACCAACATGATTCCTGAGTAAAGCACTTAATTTACATCGGTGTTACACATTTCACCTGTTTGGAACCAGAGTAGAGGAAACCTCTGATCAGCGTAACACTTAAAGTGGCTCCTACACTTAAAACACTCATAATTCCTTATTTTTCCATTTTGAAAAGAAAAAAAAAATTAAACATGCTTTGTTACTGTGCCTTTAAGACATGTATGTAAATGAGCTCTGCTCTCACTGGCCGGCTCCTTCAGAAAAGCAATGCAGGCTGAAACACACCTTAAGGAATGGGTGAATATTTGGAAATGTGCTGCTTTTTGTGATGTCACAAAGACAGTGAATTAGTCTGCATGCATTTACATTTGTAACTTCCACAGTTTTACAGCGCTTCCTCCAAATTTCGACCGTCCCCCAGTTTCAGCCACGTCTGCGTAGTGTGTATTTCCTCTCTCTCTTAGCCAATCGCAGTGAGGAAATTCAAAATTCAAAAGTTCCTGCCTTAAGAGGGCATTTCAACCTTGTTCTTGCAAAAAATCATGTCTGAAAACAGTATTTAAACACCGCTAACAGTGTTGTGATTCTGCGTGTACGAAACTGCAGGAACACACGACGCTGTTTCCACTTCTACAGAAGTCTCACCGGTTAGCCTTCTGTGATCAGAGGGGAAAAGTTTGCTGCCATGGTAACTAGAATTACGTATACAAAGTAAGGGTGACCACAGAGGACATGGTTAGGTGCCATCTGCAGTGGTGAGGCTGCAGATTACAACCAAACAAATCCCCCTCCCTCACCCCTCCCTTTCCAAGCGTGTAGTAGAACCTACGGTGGCCGTCGGGTTTTCTGCCATCGCCTGTCCCAGTTTCTTTTTGCTCCTTCATGTTTCTGCTTCTTTGTTGGTGAGGATTCACCCTCCCCCACTTTATCTTGTGCTAAATAATAAGTTTGATCCTCCATTTCTCAAAATTTGGGTTCTCAAACTTCTCACAACACAAAAAATATTATCCAGCACCGGCAGCAACGACTGATCGTTCTTTTTTCTACGCCTTCCAACCGGAACTACAGCGCCACCAAATTCAAGCTGCCGCTTCAGTGTAGAAACATGGTGGCCTCTGTTAAAGAGGAGCCGCTCCGTGTGTAGATATGAAGGGCTCGTTCTAAGATAACGAGCACACAACGATTCGTAGATACAGGTGATTATACACTAATGAACACATGGTTTTGTTTACTATACTCCATTTCTGCCAATAGACCCCCCTAAATTTTACACACTGCACCTTTAATGCTGCAAGATGAGCTACAGAAAGACCGAAGTGACAGACGGTGACTGATATCAGCCTCAAAGCAAACAAAAACTTAATTACTGAAGAAAATATTTTCTTTGAAAGCCAAACGACTCTTGGGCATTAATCTACACTCCTAAACATGATGGTTCTCCAGGGGTTCCCTAGTAAAGAAAATGGTTCTATATAGAACCATGAACCCTCAAAAGAACTCTATGCATGATTTAAGTGTTCTCTGCATCATAAAACGGTTCTTCAGATTGATGGACAATGTGCTGCGGATGGTTTTATATAGCACCCAAAATGGTTCTTCTGTTGTTACTATATCAAGCTTGTATCAACAGAAGAACGAAGAACCCTTTTGGGTGCTATTAAGAACCCTTCTCAAAAAGATTCTGCAGCACATTCTCCACTAATCTGAAGAATCCTTTCAGGATGCAAAGAACATTAATCATGCATAGTGTTAATGCTTTTATACTGAACCGTTTTCTTTATTAAAAACCCTTGAAAAACCATATTTTTTAAGAGTGTACTGAAAAACACTCATTTGGGTGAGTTAAGGGCTTTCCTTTATTTACAGCTAGCTCAGATTAAAGACCTTTCGCGTTGAGGAGGCCGATAGGTGGCGCCTCTTCGCACCCTACGTCTTTTACTTCACAAAACAGAATTCATTTTTCCGCTATATTGGCCCTTTAATCTAAACCAGCCGTGTTTACATCAGCCAGAAACTGAGAGGAAGCGTGTGCGGAATTTCCTTGCTGTGTAGGTGAAATGACTCATCTGGTAACTGTAAATTAAGTCTGTAGGTTTCGGAGAGGTCAGTAAATAAACCTCGGCCTTTTTTTGGTCTAACCGCCGTGTTTAAGGGTCTATTCGCCTGAGCTTTGTTACGTCACAGCTGCCCTACATTTTCACACAGAGGGCAGGCGAACCAGATGTACGTTCGCTGTCATAGGAAGCTCATTTTAAAGCCTTTTTAGCGACAAAATCAGCTGAAAATGAGTAACCAGGCTCGCAATACGCGACAGGACAGCGTTTCTGACGAGAAACTAACCCTAAGGCTGTTGTGACAGAACTGAGAAAGATGTTTTGAGCTGTTTGGAGCTCTGTGGTGGAATTTTAACCCGTTTTCTCAAAACATACCCTCGGTTTTATCACTTTAAAACCACGCACCCTTCTGAACAGCCAGAGTGAACGGAAAACACACACACTCAGCAGCTAACGTGGCTCCGTTTGTGGCCTCAGTCACAAAAGAAGTTTGTTTTCGGGAGAAAAGGGGAGATTATTGTCCGATTTTCTGGCTTTATCTATCAGCTACGTAACCTTCTCCACCCCAGAAGTTACATTCGACGACAAAAACAACTAGTTTACCTCAGAAAACTGACGTTACACGAAGCTGAAGTTGGCTTCCTCTTCGAACTGTTCCGTTCCACCTTAAATGGTGCAGCAGTTACATTCTGACGGCTTTGGCGCCAGAACGTAACTGCTGCACCATTTAAGGTGGAACGGAAAATTCGAGAAAAAAAAGATATCTTACCCGCCCAAGATTTCGCCACAGCGTTAGCCCGTGTTGCTAGAACGTAGTCCAAGATAACCCAGCGCCTCTTCGGCTACTCACATTCATGAAAGCCGGTCCTCTTTCCCGGTGCAGTTAGCTCCCGCTGTCCGCCTGTAGATGTGCGGCCGCTCCGTCAGTAATCGGCAGCGCTCGGCTCACGCCGCGCAGCAACGCTACCGAACCCCCTTCGCCGTTGCCGTGGCAACAGGCCCACTTCAGCCAATCGTAGCTCCTCCCCTTCGACGTCCCCCTGGCAACTGCCGCAGAGCTGCTTCCTCTCCGCACACGTGTTCCACAATAGGAGGACCGAGCTGCTCTTCTTCATTTGCATTGCTTTCCGTTCCATTTGTTTGTTTTTCTTCAAGTACAGAAACGAAACAGAGCTGCAAAGTTACTGATACATAACAGTAGATATCCTCTGTGATGGCTGCTCCCCTTATTCTTAAATATTATGGACGATTCCACCACATTTTCAAAATTTCTGCATAATTAAATGGTTAAGATGTAAACAAAGTCATTCAGAGTGGTTTGGTGTGAAACGCTCTTATTCACAGTGGTGGTGATAGGAACCAGACGTCCACCTCTAAAAGCTCCCTCACCGAAAGTTCCTACATTAAATGGTACAAAACACATTAATGGTGCAAAGTAGTCCCCAAAGAAAACTTATTATTTCAGATTTTCCACTATTTTCCATCATCAACATTCCATATAAACTCAGAAGACTCGTGTAGGTTCACTGGTGGTTCTGGATAGTAAATAAAATGTCTATATTTGTGTTGTAGTCATGGCGACCCCTGGTTCCTATCACCACCGCTGTAAAGACATCTGAACCATTTCACACCAAACCACTCTGAATCTCTCTGTTTACACCTCACACACTCAGTTATATCAAAAGAAATATCAGTAAAATGAATATTAACCTTCTTTCACCCACTGCTCTGAGACATCTGAGCCGAAACGTGGCTCTGTTTTCATATTTTGATAATGTTCTCTGATTTGGGCTGGAGACAGAGTCTCTACAATAAACCATTTCACACCAAACCACTCTGAATCACTCTGTTTACACCTCAGTGACTGAATTACACAGAAATTTTGAAAAATAGGTGGAATTCTCCTTTAAAGCTCTACATTCATATATCAGACTGAATTTATTTGTAGGACAAAGAAAAGACAAAAAATGAACAAGAAAAATAAAAAAGTATAATTTTAGGTTTTAAATAAAACTGAAAAGCTTTAACACAGTGATGAATTCACAACATGTACAAATGTTTTGCTGCAGGCATAAATACGCTAATGTAGATATGCAGTTACATAGATCTGTGTGTACAAAGGCCATGTGTGAAGGTAATTTTCTGGCACATTTAACTTGAAGGAGAATTCCACCAAGAGTGTTTTCATGTCAAATTCGTCACTCTAGAGAAAGTCAGTGATTGTGATAGCAACCAGATGTCCACCTCTAAAAGCTCCCTCACAGAAAGTTCCTACATGAAATGGTTATGAATTCACTGCCTGATGACTGAGACACTGTTTTATGGTAGTTTTGAGAAATTGTTTTAAGGTATATTTTTTTTTATTATTAACATATCAACTGGTTCCTATCATCGCTGCTGTAAAGGAATCAGAGTCTCACATTAAACCACTTTGAATCTCTACAACTGAATTTGAATTTTGAAAAATTGGTGGAACTCCCCTTTAAGCACCAATAGCAACATGCCTGTCTAATAGCAACATGAGAAGGGCTGAGGGCTTTCCAGTCTTGAGCTTTGGGCTTATCTGGCTAACCGAGATACTGCTCTTACTTTAAAGGTCGATTCCACCAGTTTTTCCAAATCATTAATTGTTTAGAAACCCAGCCCCTTTACAGTGGTGGTGATAGGAACCAGGGGTCGCCATGACTACAACACAAATATAGACATTTTATTTACTATCCAGAACCACCAGTGAACCTACACGAGTCTTCTGAGTTTATATGGAATGTTGATGATGGAAAATAGTGGAAAATCTGAAATAATAAGTTTTCTTTGGGGACTATTTTGCCTCACAGCGCCCTGCATGTATCCCTCCACCATGAATGGAGTTTAAGTTCTCTAAACTATCATAAAACAGTGTCTCAGTCATCAGGCAGTGAATTCATAACCATTTCATGTAGTAACTTTCTGTGAGGGAGCTTTTAGAGGTGGACGTCTGGTTCCTATCACCACCACTGTGAACAGCTCTGACTCAGTAAGTTCATCTAGAACGGAGTGTTTCATACCAAACCACTCTGAACCACTCTGATTACATCTTAACCACTAAATTATGCAAAAATTGTTGGAAATTTGGCAGAATCCCCCTCTAAAAGTAACCAGTAAACATGGTTTTCTCACCACTCTGAGGACTTTTTTTCATAAAGTGCTGATCTCATCGGCTGCCTGACACATTAGTGACATCACACCGTAGTGCTGCTGTTCTCACAGCTGGGTGAAGCCACTGCAGCTCCAGAAGAACCCTCACCCAACACACCACACTGCTCTGAACTCCAGCAGGAGCTAACAGGGTGGTTCCACGATCGCAATCTTAAAAAAATTAGACATTGTTTTGTGTCAGGATTCCTCTCTGTTCCTCACTCTTAAAAAGATGGTTCTTCATGGGTTCTTTAGTAAAGACAATGGTTTTACATAGAACCATGAACACTCAAAGAAACATTTGCATGGTGAAATGGTTCTGAAAAGGGTTCTATATAGCACCAAAAAATGGGTTCTTCTATTGTAAACATGCTTGTTGATATAACAATAGAAACGCTCCATTTGGTGCTGTATAGAACCATATACAACACATTCTCAACATTTCATAGAACCATTTCAACATGGCTCTTCAGATTGATAAAGAATGTGTTGTATATGGTTCTATATGGAATCTTTTTGAAAATGGTTCTATATAGCATCAAAAAAGGTTCTTCTATTGTATACAAGCTTGACATTGTGACAATAGAAGAACCCTTTCTAGTCAATCCGAAGAACGATTTCACCATGCAGAGAACCATTTAAGCATGCAAATGGTTCTTTGAGCATTCATGGTTCTATTCAGGACTGTTTTCTTTCCTAAAGAACCCTTGAAGAATCATCTTTTTTAAGAGTGTACATATTTGTAAATGTAATTGCAGTGGAACACAAATGGCCCAATAAGAGAACTCAGAAGGAACTGTTTTCAACAACAGGACAAAGAACTGGGTTCTGTGATTGGTGGAATGACAGGTTAACGCGAGGTTGTGAGATCAGGTGCAAATCAGCGGTTATTGAACCCTCACTTATTCAGAGCCCTCTGAACTTTAGTCATTGTTACTGTCTCTCCTGCTGAAACATGACTCTTATCTGGCTGCTGGACCGGACTGACAGGATTTCTTCTCAGTCTCTCCAGGCTTTACTTCTCTCTGCTTATGTTGTTTGTTGGTTCTGGCTAGTAAGTTCTACTATTCTACAGGCTCTAAACCCTTCAGAATAAAGCTGCCGTACTTTTATGAGCTTTCATGTCCGAGTTAAGGTTCAACAGGTGAAAGACTCTCCTCTCCTTTTGACTTCGGTTATTTATTTACGTCACTGGTTTCTTCAGTGGAACAAGCGCTGCTATTAAGCGAGCACATTCCTGCCATTCCTTCCTTTATCTCTCGTCTTGCTAATGAGAAGAATGCACCTGTATCGTGTGTCTGCGAGTGCCGACTCACCGTCACTGAACTGTCTGAGCTTACATTGTTCAATTAACGCTGCGTTTAGGCCAGTTTTCTACAGCATCGCCAATAAAAGAGCTTCTTAAAAAGAGCACAAGTGTCTCCAGTGTGTGGTTCAGAAATCTGAGCTCTGCTAAGTACCACATAGTTAGTGTTGTAGAAGGGGAATTCCACTAATTTTTCAAAATTCCCCTCATAATTGAGTGTGTGAAGTGTAAACAGAGAGATTCAGAGTGGTTCGGAGTGAAATGGTTCAGGTGTCTTTACAGTGGTGGTGATAGGAACCAGGGGTCGCCATGACTACAACACAAATGTAGACAATTTATTTACTATCCAGAACCACCAGTGAACCTACACGAGTCTTCTGAGTTTATATGGAATGTTGATGATGGAAAATAGTGGAAAATCTGAAATAATAAGTTTTTTTTGGGGACTATTTTGCCTCACAGCGCCCTGCGTCTTATGTATTCCTCCACCGAAAATGGTCTTAGTCATCAGGCAGTGAATTCATAACCATTTCATGTAGGAACTTTCTGTGAGGGAGCTTTTAGAGGTGGACGTCTGGTTCCTATCACCACCACTGTGAACAATTCTGAACTCGGTAAGTTTATCTAGAACAAAGCATTTCACACCAAACCACTCTGAACCACTCTGATTACATCTTAACCACCAAATTATGAAAACATTTTTGGAAATTTGGCAGAATCTTCCTCTAAAAGCCCAGGAGCTTAACAGTAACACCCTCTTAAAAAAGGTGGCTCTTCAAGGGTTCTTTAGTAAAGACACTCAAAGATCCATTTGCATGCTTAAAGGGTTCTTTGCATGGTGAAGTTGTTCTTCAGACTGATGGAGAATGTGCTGTATATGGTTTTATATAGCACCCAAAAGGGTTCTGCTATTGTTAGAAAGTCAATGCATGAGTCTTTTTGGTGCTATATAAAACCATATACAGCACATTCTCCATCAGTCTGAAGAACAACTTCACCATGCAAAGAACCCTTTAAGCATGCAAATGGATCTGTGAGTGCTCATGGTTGTACATATATAATAACTGAAAGAGTCTCTCCACGTGTTTCACTGAATGTGTTTGCAAAACATATGCATCGATTTGTTGCGTTTCAGACCAAATATCTTCCTAAAACTATCATAAAACAGCATCTCAGTCATCAGGCAGTGAATTCATAACCATTTCATGTAGGAACTTTCTGTGAGGGAGCTTTTAGAGGTGGACGTGAACAGTTCTGACTCAGTAAGTTTATCTAGAATGAAGGACTTTAGAACAGACTTTACATCATCATTTTCAATTACTAAATGAATGAATATGTGGGAAAATGTGTACAATTTATAAACCATACCACACATTTACTATCAGTATGAGTTACAGACCTCACAGTGTGGAGAAACAAGGCCTGTCGCTGTGGATTAGGCTGTCTTTTCTGTGGGTGCTGAACTGTTGGCTTCCCATCGATGAAGTGCTG